CCCTTATCAACTTCCTCTATTAAGAGACATCCATCATGCTATTGATCTTGTCCCCAGTGCCTCACTTCCCAACCTACCCCACTATCGCATGAACCCCACAGAACATGATGAGCTTAAAAAGTATGTGGATAAATTATTGCAGCTACATCAAGGAAAGTCTCAGCCCTTGTGTTGTACTAACTCTTCTTACACCGAAGAAGGATGGTACTTGGAGAATATGCATTGATAGTAGTGTCATCAACAAAATAACAATTAAATATCATTTTCCTATTATGGGTTAGATGATATGCTTGACATGATGACAGGGGCAACTCTTTTCTCCAAGATTGACCTTTAGAGTTGATACCACCAAATCCAGATCTGACCCAGTGATGAGTGGAAGGCTTCCTCTAAGACCAAGGGTGGTTTATACGAGTGGATGGTCATGCATTTCGGGTTGAATAATGCCCCAAGTACTTTCATGAGAGTCATTACCCAAGTGTTGCGCCCTTTCATGGGAAAGTTTATCGTTGTCTACTTTGACGATATCCTTATCTCTAGCCAATCCATGAGTCAGCACTTAGACCACTTGAGGCAGGTCTGTGAAGTCTTAAGGAAGGAGCAGCTTTACACTAACCCTAAGAAATGCACTTTCCTTGTTGACCGACTAAGTTTTCTGGGCTTTATTGTGTCTGCCCAAGGGGTCTTTGTAGACCCCGAGAAGGTGAAAGCCATTCCATAATGGTCATTTCCTTAGAACATCCGGGAAGTCCGCAGCTTCCACGGCTTAGCCACTTTCTATAGGAGATTCATCAAAAACTTTAGAGCCATTGTGTCTCCTATCACTGATTGTTTCAAGAAATGGGAATTTCACTGGACCCCAGCTTCCACCAAAGCCTTTGAAGAAATAAAGAAAAGAATGGTGGAAGCCCCAGTGATGAGATTTCCTGACTTCTCCAAGGTCTTCCAAGTTACCTGCGATACCATGGGGGTCGGAATGGAGGAGTGTTGCCCCAGAAAGGTCAACCTGTTTCCTACTTCAGTAAAAAGCTGAATGACATCCGACAACGATATTCCACGCACGAAAAGAGTTCTACGTGGTGATCCAATCCCTTCGATATTAGCGACACTGCTTGCTCCTGCAAGAGTTCGTCATCTTTTTGGATCACGAGGCTCTGTTATATCAACTCCCATAAAAAGCTGAATACACGTCATGGTCGTTGGGTAGAACTCTTACAAGAGTACACTTACACCCTTAGGCACAAAATGGGAGTTAAAAATAAAGTTGTCGATACCCTCAGTCGTCGTATGTTGACTACCACTAAAATGAAGGCAGAATTCATTGGGTTTGAACAAGTCAAAGAGGACTAATTGGAATGCCCCGACTTCAAGGAAATTTACTCCCTTTTGTTTACAAGTAACACACACCTTATTGATGATTTTCTTCTTGAAGACGATATATTTTCAAAGCCTAAAAGCTTTGTGTCCCTAACACTTCCCTTAGAGAATTTCTAATTTGGGAACTTCACACCGGAGGTCTTGCCGGACACTTCAGTCATGATAAAATTATTGAGGTTGTAGAGTACTGTTTCTTTTGGCCCAACCTCAAGAAAGATGTGGGTAAAATGGTCAGTGGGTGCCACAGTTGTCAATTGGCCAAACAACGAAAATAGAGCACAAGTCTTTACACCCATTTACTAGTTGCCAGCTGTTCATGGCAAGATGTCAGCATAGACTTCGTCCTAGATTTGCCTTAAGACTTTTTGTATGAATGATGACATATGTGTCGTAGTTGACTGCTTCTCCAAGATGGCATATTTCCTATCCTATTCTAAAACATTCGATGCCTCTCATATTGCCAAACTGTACTTTAATTAGGTCATAAGATTACATGGTTTACCCAAGACCATTGTATCTAATAGGGATGTAAAATTCACTAGTTACTTCTGAAAAACTCTCTAGCTGAAAATGAGCACCAAACTACAATTCTCCACAGCCTTTCATCCTCAGATTGATGGCCAAACTGAAGTGGTCAATAGTGTTGAGATCCTTAGTGGGTGAGCACATTAAAGATTGGGATTCCAAACTCCCCACAGCTGAATTTGCTTATAACAATTATGTAAATCACTCCATCGGTCTGAGCCCTATTGAAGTTGTATATGGGTACAAGATCTTATACCCATGTGTCCTAAGTATAGAATTTTTAAGTCTGCATCTTTATTTGCGTCGCATTTGCATGAATTACATAAAGAAATTATACATCAAATTGAACAAAGCAATGCCAATTATAAGCTTCACGCTGATCTTAAACGCATATTCAAAACATTCGAAGTTGGTGATTTAGTGATGGTCCGGATTCATTCGGAACGGTTTTTGAAAAGAGATGTTAAGAAATTACATGCCAAAAGTTCTGGACCATTCAAAATAATCAAGAGAACTAATGATAATGCCTATGTGGTGAGTCTGCCTGCAGACTTTGATATTAATCCCTCTTTTAGCATTGAAGATTTAGTAGTCTATAAAGGTCCAGAGTTTAACCCACCTAATCCACTAGAAACTGAGCCTTATGTGACCCCACCTTGTAAGAACTCAAGCCTTCCTCCACTTCCAAATATTTCCAAAATACCTACCGCGGAGGCAGTTGACATGATTCTGAGTGATGAAATCATTTTCACAAAAGAGGGTGGACAAAAAAGGTATTTGATAAGGTGGAGAGGTAAGCCAGAGTCAGAAGACATTTGGTTAGAGCGCGATGAGCTACAACGGATTAATTCAGATGCACTAGAGATTTATGAGAGCACCCAAGACGCATACTCGATGGAGTCGAGCCTTTTTCAACCCCGGGAGAATGATGAGGACATCCGACTATGGAAAGTACTAGAGATGGGGTTGACGATCTACGGCCACGATCGCACCACTTTATTTTTGAGCTATCATTTATATTAGGTTTATTATTATTATTATATGTGTATTTCATTTATTATCATAGTTTTTATATTTCTACCCTCACTTGAAGGAGTGGTTGTTTGTGACCCTTAGGGGCACTTTTGCCTTTTATCTTGCTATTATATTTTGGCTATTTAAAGCCACCTCCTCTTCCTTTTGAGGGGATGATGACTATTATGAAAAGGAAATTCTGCAATTGTATTTTGGGAGAGCATGAGATTTCTTGTGAGAGTTGAAGTCTCTATGTAAGGGCAAAGTACTACCCGTCAGCAGCAGGAAGCGTCCGGACTCACGGTCCAACTCCTCCTTCCCCTCCAAACCCCCGACCACCACCTCCTTTCCATCCAAACCGCCGACCCTAACTCCACTTAGCCCCAAGCCCTACCCCCTCCCATAGCTGCCGGCCTCCCTCGCCCCAAACCCTAGCCGTCGGCCACTTCCACCCTTTTATTGGATCCAAAATTTTCCTAGCCTTTACTACTTTCCTAAATTAGATCATGATGAGATTGGAAGGATAATTAATTCAATTTTGAATCAATTTCAAATTTGAATTCTTTCCTAATTGACATGAGTTATATTTGGAAAGTCTCTCAATCAAATCAATTTGAATTTGAATTCAAATTAAAAGAGATATAGACATTAAATCTCTTTTAATTTAACTTGTTTTGCTTGGATACTATTTGAAATTCTCCAAAATTCCTCCCTCCCTCCCTTAGCCGCCGGACTTACCCTCTCTCTTCTCTAAATACTACTTCCATTAATGCTTCTAATTAGCTCCCCAATCAATGCCCATTAAAGGTAGCCTCCCCCTCTTTTCTCCTCTCCTTTATTATAAAGAAATTAAAATCAAGTTCCCTAATGATCTCCACCATCAAATCTGAAATTTCTTTCAGAAATTTGAGTTGATTCCCTCCTAACCAACAACACAAATTTGAAATAAAAAATCAACCCTCTTCTCCTAGCCTTGGCCGACCACCCAAGCCACCCCTCCTCTATATCTCCTCTCCTACGCTTGGTACCTCACCTAAGGAAGAAGAAGCAAAACTTCTCCCTCCCCAACACCTTGTTAGTCCTCCTTACTCATGGATGGCCGATCCTGAACGTGATCACGGCTTTGTATTCGACGACCAAGGGTTCATTGACATCCACCGATCTCCTTTCTTCGACGTTAACCTAGAGAACGACCTCTCCATTAAAGATTACGTGGAATGAATCCTCTTCTCCTTTGCCACCGCTATCAATCAACGACAACCTCCCGTTCAGTGACAACTTTTTTCTGAATCTTGACAAAGGTGAACTCTTTCCCGAATCTTATTTCTTCCAAGTCCCTCTCAATTGTGGCATCATAAAGATCATGCAAGCTTTCTCCGCTTAACCAGTCATTAAGAGTGAGAGTGAGGGATCTTAAATAGTGAATATTCTAAATGTTAATTAAGGAATTTCTTTCGAAAGCTCCGCATTAAGCAAAATCTGATTTGATTGATTATTTTGTGCTCTAAATCTTTATCATGTAATCAATTGCTTGAACTAAATCATTTCTTTATTGTTTTAATTCATCGTTTAAATAGTTGGAAGTGACTAATTGCTCTTGCTCTTTCAAAAGCGTATAATTTCAAAGGTAAAACATCAACAAACACATTTAGTCCTACATCAGCAATACTAAGATTATTCCTAATATCCATGCCAAAGGATATAGAAACACTAGAATTTGAGTGCATAATCGAGTGATCACGCCACAAAACTAATTCAAAACACTTTTTCTATAATAGCATGATGCATAAAGCTCAAGGTAACTAAAATAATTGATTGCTGTTTTCCAGTAGTTTTTAGTAAGTACATCAAGCGAAAATGAGCTGATCTCATTTCATTCAAACTAGCCTTGGCTGATGATATTTGAACTCAGATTCTAATGGAAATTATTCAGATTGTGAAAACAACAAGATCCTCCTCTTTGCAAGTTATGACAAGCCAAGAGGATGCGTACACATGTAAATTTAAACTTAATGTTACATTTAATGCAGAAATATTTCGACCAAAATCCATTGTATAAGGTGCATCAAATGAAAATATCTTACGCTTTTTGCCGTAACTCCATCCAAAGATCTTCATCAGAAAGAGGAGGTGATTTACCAATCTCCACTTCCAAACGGTACCTTGCTCTTTCGATTCTCAAAGTCTTAACCATCTCTAATTTTTGTTGTCTTCTGACATCAAGCATTTCAGCAGCAAGAGGCACAGTCTTCACATACCTATTTGGAATTGCATACAGAATTATGTAATCTGAAACCAACTTACATTTTCATAATTGCTACCACCCCATGGATTTCTATAAAACATTTCAGAAGTTAAATTTCAAATTTTGGTTTGTCATAAATGTTAATTAGTATAAGCTTAGCAGGTCTTCAGATTATTGCCTTCCTATGCTAATATCATCTATATTGCTCAAATGCCTAAAAGAATTTCTAACCATGTGTCTTACCAAGAAAATCTTTGTCCAACACAAAGCATCTAGCTGGATAAAATGAGATACTAATCAAAAGATCCCTATCCAGAAAAGAGACATTGGAGCAACCTCCCTCAAGGTTTGATACTCTTAAATATTCCATGATGGACAAAAGCCCAAAATTACGTAGGAGAACAGAACATCTTAATACAAGCAATAGCTTTTGTTGTTTTCATCACATACATGTCACCTGTCTCGTCCTATGCTGATCAAATCTTATAAGGAAGACCAATGAATTCTGCACGTTACACGCCTTCACTGTTATTTATTAGCATGACTAAAGAATGATTAAGAAGTCAATTAACACTGAAACCTTCTTGTCTTTGAATCAAATTAGAAGGCAAAAATATTTGTCAGCTCATGCCATTTGAAGCTAATATCAATGCTCTATCACTAATCTTTTTCCCTAATGATATTTTTGTGCTGGAATGAAAAAAAGCATAGTTCCAAAAGTCTAGGAGAGAAAAACATCACCAGGTAAAAATAAACCAGAAATTATGAGAACAAGCAACATAGAGGAGATTACCTGTCCAAAAATGGCATGAGAACATAGTCATGAACCAAAAAACTCACAAACCAAGGAATGAGAACCAACAAAGCAATGAATTTTGCCTGCAGGGAAAAAAATGTCACATCGTAAACCATCTTCGTTGCAACTTTACAGATTTGCAGTTAATACATATTTACTTTTGGCATTTTAAAACTATAAAATACTTCAATATTTAAAGATAAAGGGGTAGAACTTAGAAAAAAACAGACAATGTCCGACTGTAGTTATAGGCTTATAGCTCATCAACATCATAATTATCTCCAACAACCTTGTATTCCTTCTCCCAACTATTTAGAAGCCAAACAAGGACTAAAAACTTAAGCACCCATGTGAACACATTCAATGTCCATCTGTCATGGATTTTAAAATTGACGTATAATCTCTTTTTTCACTCCACATAACTCCCAGATAGTAAATTTTCCCATAAACTTTAAATAAGATTTCCTCATTCAATCCAATTTATCATAAAAATGAAAAAAAGGGTAGGAACTTCGTGTTCAGCAAATTTGATGGCATCCCAATGGCTATTCTCAACAGTAGATTCACCTCCAATGAAAGATTAACTAGGAAGTTTGACAGCAGAAAAGCACAGCCCTGCCTGTTCAATAGCTTTCTATTCTTCTCTCCTAATTTTCTTAAGAGAACTTCAAAAGGAATTGCAGATGCTAAAATTTAAGAAGAAAGCACATTATGCTCAATAAACTTCAAAGTCTACAAGATCACATCCTGCACCTCATTTATAATGCACATAGGTGTTTGCATTGACTATTAAAGAGATGAAAAAGGATAAGAACAAAAGACTTCTAACATGGGCCAAAGGTAAATTCTTAGTAAGTGGTCATTTAAATGCATAAGAATTACTGAATTGGATATTAAAGATCCTTTCTACGAAAATATGGGAAAATAAAGAATTCAATATTCAATTTTTCTTTAATTAAAATTTTCAAAGAAAAAAAAAGTAATGAAGTAATTGAGAATCCTTGCAATGAGATTCAAAGATTGAGTTTATGTGCTAAAGAACTGAGTTTGGACAACAACTTTAGATCAAATCAACCAAAAGACACTTAGATCAAATCAACCAAAGTTTGAGGGAGCATGTTAAGTAACAATATTTTCAATTGGAAACAAAAGACAGTGCAGGAACGTTGCAACAATTGGGTTAAATATTTGTAAGAACAATAGAAAAACCAACAAGACGATCATAAAGGTTTATAAAAGAAATGGAAGAAAACTTAAGGAAAAAAACACATCTTGAATGCTTTATTATCCTTAAATAAAGTGTTATAAGTATTCCTAAATAAAGTTTTAATACATTTTTTTTTATTTATAGTTTAACCTAGTCAGTCAAATAAATGACCCAATGGGTTTGATTCATTTAATTGTCCATAAAATAGTACTCATATAGCTGTAAGCATGGCTATGGAATAAAAAATTTCTCCTTTTCTCTTCTTTCCCTCTTGTGTCTTGGAATTTGCACCTACTCAAAAGGTGTCTTCACTTCTTGCTCCATCAAGCATAACAACTTAGTGCTCTGGTTAAGTTATCCTCACCTTCCCTCTTCTCCACTCAGTCGCAGCCTTCCAGCTCATCACCTTCAGTCTGCAGCCTCCCAATCAGCCGCCAAACAGCTCCTTCCAGTCAGCCTTCCTTCTCTGCAAGAATCTATCTTCCATTCACCTTTCCATCCAGCAAACTCTTCTCCATCCACCGTCCAAACAGCACCCTTCCTTTTTCGTTTTTCTCAATTGTTGTTTTCCTGTTTTTCCCAATTTCTGTAGTCCGCCCAACCCCTGCAGCACGTAGTTCATCAAGTTCCGGAATCCCCGCCACTAACTCTCTTGTTGGCCCCATTTCCTGTTCCCTTCTTGGCTATCCGGTTTCACATATGCACTCATCATGAAGAATTCTAATCTTGCCGACACATTGATTTCCATGCAAACGCATCAAGAATCACAATTTTCAGAAATCCATAAATCATTTCAGCAAGCTGACGTGCAATTCGCATCCATTGGAACCTCTCTACAACAATTTCAAGTCTTCATGGACTCCGTGGACAAGCTCCTCGACAGCCTTTGCATGGATCGCCACACAACCCCTTCTCAAGAACCACCGCTGTCTGCCGTAAATCTTGGGTTCAACCGCCCATTTGTCTTCCCAACAGCAGCCTCCGTTTTTCTCAGGTTTTTTGTTCCTTAAAAATATGAAAATCGAACTTCCTTGCTCGAATGGATCTGATGCGGAAACATGGATCGTTAAAGCTCAAGAATATTTCAATTTTCATTCCACTCCGGATTGCCATCTTGTTCGCATTGCTTCATTTCATCTCAAAGGCCTTAACGGCTATATGGTATCAATGGATTCGCATTGAAGGCCACAGTCCTTCTTGACCCGAATTCATGATATCTTTAACGCAACGTTTTGGCACTTCTTCTTACGAAGCTTTGCATAGCAATCTATTAAAATTAACATAAACCTCATCCGTTCTTGAATATCAAACTTCTTTTAAAAATATTGTTTTTTAAATTTCAAATTTATCTTTACCCTAATTAGATATTTTATTTATGGTCTTAAACAAGAATTATGTAGGGAATTTTTACTTGTCAAACCTTAAACTCTCTTAGATTCCATGGACTTAGCTCAACGACATGAATCAAAATTTCAAGAATTCTTTTCCCATCCAATATCCTATTGGTGCAAAACACAACCTAAGTTGCATTCGGCCAAAACCCCTTACCCTTCCTTCAACCCATCATCTACCACTCCTTCGCCACCACCAACTCTATCCACTAAAACACTTTCACTTCCTATTCAAAACTTTCCCCAGTTGAAATTCAATTTCATCATGACAAAGGGCTTTGCGTTAATTGTGGTGCTAAATATGACCCTCAAAATCATTGCCCAAATAAATTTTACCTTTTACTTGGAACAGATGATGAAAATTTGAATGATATTGGTTCTCCTACCCCAAATTCTAATACACTTGAATTTTCTCTTGAAATCAGTTTAAATGCTTTAGCCGGACAATTTAATCCATGTTATTTTCAATTAACCAGTTCCATTAACAATCATGATGTTCATATCCTAATCAATAATGGGAGTACTCATAATTTTATTCAAGACACTCTCATTTCTCATCTCAGTCTTCATAAACATACTACCAAGTATTCTAAGTCTCAGTGGGAAATGGACATTTATTAACATGTAACCCAAAACGTTTTCAAGTCCCAATTTCTATACAAGGTTATCAAGTTTTTCTCGTTCTTTCCATCCATGGCATTGATATTGTTCTAGGAATGCAATAGCTCCAATATTTAGGTTCTGTTCTTCAAAACTATCACGATCTTACCATGCAATTTTCATATCATAATCGTACAAATATTTTATTCGGGGATCTCAATTGTTACCTAATCCAATTTCTTTTAACCAGTTTCGAACATTGATTTCTAATTCTCCAATAATACAAGTTTTCACCATCCAATCTGAACCTTTAAATAATGAGCCTCCAGTATCTTGAAAATTCTTTAGACAACACACTTTCTTCCATCATTAATGATTTATCTCATTCTATTTCAGGTTTAATATGGCAATTTAAACATGTCTTTCAGAGATCGCAAGGTTTACCTCCTCCACATCCGATTGATCACCATATTAATCTACCACCACAATCCAAACACGTTAATATTCGCCCATATTGCTACCCTCATTGTCAAAAAGATGTAATGGAACACTTTAGTCATTGAAATACTACAAGGAGTTATTCGTCATAGTCATAGCCCCTTCTCCAGCCCAATACTTCTCGTCAAAAAACGTGATGATATTGGCTAATTTTGTGTTGATTAGTGTGCCCTAAATGCTTTAACTGTTAAAAATAAATTCCCTATTCCTACAGTTGACGAACTCTTAGATGAATTACATGGTGCTCACTTTTTTTCTAAACTTGATCTTTGTTTAGGCCTCCATTAAGTTCTTATGCACCCAAAAGACATTCATAAAATAGCTTTTCGTACTCATGATGGCCATTTCGAATTCTTAGTTATGCCTTTTGGCCTAACTAATACACCATCTACCTTCCAATCTTTAATGAATCAAGATTTTTGTTCTTATCTTTGCAAGTTTGTCATTATTTTTTTTATGATATCCTGATATATAGCCCCACTATAACTCTTCATTATGACCACCTTCATATTATTTTCAATGCTTAGTCACATCACTTATTTCTTAATCTAAATAAATGTGAATTTTGTAAATCCTCCATTCAATACTTAGGCTATATTGTCTCTTTGGGTATTGTTTTGGCGGATCCTAATAAAATTAAAGCAATGAGTGATTGGCCAATTACTTCATCTATACACCAACAGACCTGATTCGCTCTGTTTTGGGTTAACAAAAATTACCATCATTTTACATCTAACTATGCTTCTATTGTCACTCCTTTAACAAACCTCCTTAAACATAATGCTTTTAAATGGGATATTAATGTAGCTAATGCTTATAGTACTCTTAAGTTTGCCATGACATCAGATCATGTCTTAAAGTTACTTGATTTCACTAAACCTTACATTATCGAGACAAATGCTTGTAATACAGGCATAGGCGTTGTTTTATTACAAAACAATTATCAAATCTCTAACTTAGCAAGAATCTTAGTTCCTGTTTCACACTCATCTACTTATACAATAGGTAAAAGGAGCCAATACCTCTTAGGAAGAATTTTTAATACATATTGATCATAAAATCTTTTGGGAACTTCAATCAATCAATCCCAAATCCTCTAAACTCCTTATCAACAATATGACCTTTGCAAACTTCTAAGCTTTAATTTTCATATTGAATACAATTCAAATAAATCAAATATAGTTGTAGATTCTTTATCACGTATCCTAGATAACAAAAAGCCAATTATATTTTCCTAACCTTCTTTTCTTCCTTTAATCACTCATTTCTATTTATCATTTATAAATGACTTAAAAAGGGAAAACATCACTTCACCAGCCATCCTTCATCTAACTTCACAACTAGCAAATGGTGATTTGTCAAAACAAGATTATCAAATTAGGGATAATATTCTTTATTATAAAGGCCGCATCTATCTCAGTAAAACTTCCTCCCTTAAAAATCAAGTACTTACGAAATTTCACTCAATACCTCTAATCGGTCATGGTGGCACCCTTAAAACCATTAAGCGACATTCAGCCAACTTCTATTAGTCAGGCCTTCATAAAGATGTTGCTATTTTTGTCATCAAATGTCTCATATGTCAAGAAACAAAATCATCCACAATGACTCCTGATTATCTTTTAACACATCTTCCCCTTCTATCCCAAATTTTGAAAGATTTATCTATGAATTTCATTATCGGATTACCAACTTCAAAATGATACACTGCTATTTTCATCATTATCTATTGCCTCTCTAAATATGCTCATTTTGGGCTCATTTTGGACCTCTTCCTACAAATTATTCTGCCTCTATGGTAGCTGATCTCTTTGCTCATATGGTAATTTTCTTGCATGGTTTTCCTTAAACAATAGTGCTCGATCGAGATAGCATTTTATAAGTAACTTTTGGCGCTATTTGTTTGCTTTAAGTGGTACTGCATTCCATTACAATAATGCTTATCATCCTCAAACAGACGTTAAAACTAAGGTTCTCAACCGTTGTTTAGAACAATATATCCGTGTTTTTACTTCTACTACTCGATGATGATCTAAATTTCTCTGTTAGGCTGAATTTAGTTACAACGCTTCATTCCACACCACTATTCAGATGACTCCTAACCGAGCTTTATATGGCAAACCCCCTCTCTCCATCCCAGCATATATCCATGGAACATACAACATAGCTTCTCTCAACATATTATTATTCGATTGTATCACACTATAACGGACCCTCCGACATAATTTGCTTTAAGCTTAACATAAAATGAAACTCATGGTAGATCGCCACCGTCGTGATTTACAATTATGCATTGGCGACTTTGTCATGGTAAAACTCCAACCCTTTCAACAAATCCCGGCAGTTAATCGCACCCATTCGAAACAAGCCAAACGTTACTTTGGTCATTTTCCTTTGTAATCTGTTATTAGTCATGTGACTTACCGACTTACATTTTCACCAGAAAGCAAGATTCATCCGGTTTTTCATATTTCGGTTCTCAAACCCTTCAAAGGAGACCATCAAATTACTCCATCTCTGATATCACTCATAATAATCAACCAATCAGTTTATCATATATAATTCTTGCTTCGCGATTAATTCAACTTCATGGTCAGCCTATTACATAGGTACTCTTGCAATGGACGCTCACTAACCCAGAAGATGCAACATGGGAAAATTTTTCAGCCCTTACTACCTTCTTTCCATCTCTCAACCTTGAGAACAATGTTATTTTTCATGGTGATGGGAGTGTTAAGCAACAACATATTCAATTGGACACAAAGATAGTGCGGAAACATTGCACGAATTGGGTTAAATACTTGTAAGAATAATCAAAAGAAGTCAAGACGATCATAAAGGTTTATCAACAAAGAGGAAGAAAACTGAAGGACATAGACACGTCTCCACAAAGATAGACAAGCTACCAAGCACTATATGTATTCCTAAATAATTTTGAATGCATTTTCTTTTATTTAGAGTTTGGCCCAGCCGATCTAATAAATGATCCAATGGATTTGGTTCACTTAATTGTCTATAAATAGTACTCATATGGCTATAAACATGGCTATGGAATAATAATATTCTGCTTTTCTCTTATTTCCTTATTGTGTCTTGGAGTTTGCACCTATCAGAAAGGTGTCTTCACTTCTTGCTCCATCAAGAAGCATAAAAGGTACCACAGCTTATTCCACTAGTTTAGCAACCATATGCTTAACAAACTAACAATCCATGCGGACCAAAAAGTATCATAAAGAAGTGGCAATCACGATTCAAGTGCTCGATCTCCCGGATTTGTTGATCACGATCATCACGCTCATGTCTACAAGTTTCACAAAGCTATGTAGTGGCTTAAAAAAATGCAGCGCCTTGTGTGATAATAACTATAATGTCATATGATCCTAGACAAATGCAACAGCACAAAAGTATATGAAGTGAATTCTAGAAATGTAATATGTAGCAGACCATACAAACCAAGAAGTATATGTGTAAATGCAATGCTGAGAACAGTGCGAATGAAAGCTGATTTGACTACTAGGTTGAATGTGTCATGCAATTCAACTCCAAGGCATTGGTGAAAGCCTACAACCACAAGCCATGCTTTATACCTGTCAATGTAACCATCTGGCTTTAAGTTTGAAAAAAACACTCGTGACTAACAAGATTTTGTGTGGGTACAGTGGGCACAAGCTCCCATTTTCCATTGCAATTATGGGCATCAAACACTTTAGACATGGCCTAACGCCATCCGACCTTTGATGCCTTGGGTGATGGAGAAGGGTTTAAGCTCAAAAGAGGGCGTAATTAGACATCGGTTTGAGTTTTTGTGCGGGTTTATGAATGTTGTTTTAGTTCGGGTGGTCGCAAAGTGATGGTGCAAGGGATTTATTGAGGTTGGAGCTTGAGAAGGTGGAGTATTGGTTGCACTATTTGGTGCCATAGAGGAGAAATTGTGGATTGTCATGAGCTGACAAATTCGCTCAAAGTGACCTAGCTTGAGTTGTGGAGGTAGATTGATCAACCAGTGGTATGGATTCAGTGAGTGAGATTTAAGCCATGTGGGATGGATAGCTAGTATTGGCAAGTGATCCATGGGAAACAATGTAGTGTTGAGAATTAGAGGACCTAAAAGAAGCCCATGAATGTAGGGTTTCAAGGCTATGACGAAGGAGAGACATAGCGTCTTATGTAAAGGAGAAGATGTTTTCAATAAATTTGGTATGATGAGAGACATGTTGTGATGGCTACAGGATTAAAGCATAGATAGACACTACTGTGCGAGAGAGTATCCAATGAAGAAGCAAGGGGTATAGCAAGGAGCTATATTGTAAGGGTAGTAAGGAGGAGAGGTGCATAGCATAGACTCATATACTTAAAGTTTGAAGTAGTTGTAAGGTTCTCTAAAAAGTGATAATGACCAATTTATTAAGTATACTTAAAAATGAAATAGACAAAAAATGAAAATAAATACTACCATTAGACAAGGGAAAGGGAAATATGAGTAAGCAAAGAGAGAGAAATTACAATAATGTGATAATAACAGCATTCAAAATACCCATTATGTTTTGCAGCATGGAGTGAGGTGGGTGACATAGGGGATCACGTGAGATGATAGGAAATGACGAAATGCTTTATATTTAACACCATTGTAAGAGAGAATGGTGATAGTTTTATGGTGAAAAATTTTTTCAACCAATGGAATCAATTTTTAGTACTTCAAGAAGTAGGGATTCTTGTTTATGAGGCTACAGCCATGTGTATTTGGTGCAGTAATTGATGCGGGCAAACTAGACAAAAGAGTCACAGTAGGAGAACACTTAGGACAACAAGAACATAACTCGATTCAATCTAGAAAACCGACATACAAACAAACATCAAAACAAACTAAAAGTCGAACAAACAAAACAAAATTTAAAAATAAAAATACTATCCTCAGAAGAACCGGCAAGCGGTTTCCTCACATGCAACGAAAAGTAGGTAAAATATGATAAGTGCTTAGGGCTTGCAAACCGAGGGTCCACCATAGCAACTAGGTCCAACGTCCAACCAAACTCCTCCGGCAAATGTCACCAAATGCTGCCAACAAATACTTCCAATAGCTCAAGAAGAAGGATACAAGTGGAGCGGAACTTGCGGAGAGAAGAAGAGATTAGAAGCCCAAGACGAAATAGAGGAGAGAGGAGAGAAGAGAGAAATGGAACAAGCTCTCAAGCTTTTCCAAGAAAGGAGAAGAAACCCAGATTTTTAGAGACTTATCTCAAGATAATCAACAACCTTCTCATGGCAAAAATACCTCATATTTATAGGAGAAAAAGGGGAGCCAAACAGCCAATTTCCACCTCCAACTGTACCAATCAGGTAAGGGAAAGAGGAAGGCCAGCAGGCAACACAAACAACACCCGAAAAGCCAGCACAGGAATCGGGTAGAAACAGCCACGGGAAAACAACCAGGGAAGAACCCGAAGAGACAACACAGGAGACCAGAACCAGCACCCAGAAAAGGGAGGAGAACCAGCCACAGGAATAACACCAGTGAGAAACCGAGGTGACACAAAGAATGGGGAGAAGAACAAGTTCCAACTCCACATAATGAGATGAGATGTGCATAGTAGGAGATGTCTTCACATAAAGCGGCGAAAGTTCATGTGAAGTGAGTCGCAAAGGTGGACTGTTGCAATCACAATGATGAATAGATTTGAATGTGCGGAGAGGAAGGGAGGAGCATGATGGAGTGACATAAGCTCATTTGCAATTTGGAGGACATGGTGTGAGAGCATTTTGGTTGGGTTATAGATGGGCTCGCAGAGGATATCAAATAGGATAATTGGAACATAATAGGCAGAGGGAGGAGCAACTTGGCACATGCGGGCATGCAAAGTCCAACGAAACATTGGAACAAGGGAGAAAGAGGTTGTTTGTTGTGAAGGTGAGGGAATTGGGAAGGAGGAGAGAAGGGGGTTAGAATAAATGCCCTAATAATATATATATATATATATAAAATTAATATTTGAGTAATACTTTCTTCTCTTATGTCTTTCTCGTTAATATGAAGGGGGTATATATACTTATTTTGATATTTATCCATATTCCATTAAATCCCTTTTTCAAAAAAGTTCAAATATACAGAATTTGTGTGAAAGATGAAAATGTATTGGACAAAATAATGCAAACTAAGTTGTTTCCTTAATAAAACCAGGATCATCAGAGGTTTAACGTAACTGCTGCATATTGACAATATTGATTCACATACCGAGCTTGTTGACGCAAATTGAAAAACTCTGTCTTCAAACAAAAGCTCATAATCATCCTTCCCAGTAATCAAATTCCGCATAGCACCAGCAAAACCCTTCTCACGAATTATCTCAAAAGGATCACTGGAGACCTCATCACTGGCTTCCGATCCATCCCCACCCAAATCTTCATCCCAAGAAGAATCAACTGCATCCACCGAACCATCTCCAATCCAGTCCTCCCAAGCTCGCACCTCAGCATTTCTTGCATCTTCCTGTGCTTCCCTCAGCTCAGTGATCACCTCAGCCCTTCTCTTCCAAGCTTCAAACTTTTCATCCTCTGACACCTCTTCTCCCTCGTCGTTGTGTCCAAGTACATCCTCCTCCTTCCAACTACTCGACACCTCATCATCATCTTCCAAAAACAACCTTTCCCACCAAGGCCTCTTCCGTTCATGACCCCTCTTCGCGGAGAGTACCAATCGTTGAACCCGAATTCGTCTCCGCTTCCAAGCGAAATCACAAACTCGCAGAGCTTCGCAGACTCCAAACTCGATTCCACACTTGCCATCTCTAAACAAGAAAACATTTCCACAAAAAACCATGGAGGTGCTCATTAAGTACATTAACCGAACCCCACATCTTTCACGCTTACCGGCAATGGAATCCTTGTAGCATTCCACACCGGAGCTCAAACCCTAGAAAAACCCTGGATGAAAATGCTGATTGCGACTCTGCTCATCCTCCACGGGCTCTTATTCCGGTATTCCGTGTTGTTATCTGTAGTAAAAATAATTGGAATTCGAGCAGCGGTGGGTAAATGGTATGAGAGCGGGAGAGAGGGAAATGGATAACGTAACGGCTCTCAAAGCCACAGCACAGAGGAAGGATGCACACGACGGCGACGCCGCTAGATAAATGTTAAGGGGACTAAAACATGCATCCCACAAATATTTATATACCTAATATCTTTTTTTTTTAATATTTATTTATATAATATATATAATTTAAAATTATATTTAAAATATCATTAATATTAATTTATTTAAGTGAAATATATTTATAAATACATATATTTTAATATCTGTTAGATATTTAAATAAATATTGATATATTATCGAAAAATTATCTTGATCGGGCATGAATCTCAAGGCAAAAATCAAGTTGGAAACTTCAAAAATTAAATCTGTGATCATCTAAACTCTGATTTCAGCAAACTTATAGCCGTGATCGTCTCGGAAATACAAACCCAACGACACTAAATTCAGCTCAATCCAAGTCCAAATGGGTCCGAATCGAAGACCCGAAGCACATTCAAAAGGTTCAATCCATAATTTGTATTACCAAACAGTTTTAAATTTGACAAGCTTATAGTCAAATCGAGCGGCTCGACGAGACAAATCCAACGAGCCCAAGATCATCGAATTTTGATATCATTAAGACATTCAAATGTCTGACGAACGGTCCACGATCAAGGGATTCAATATCGGCCGTCCATTCAAACCACTACATTTGCCCTTGATTCTCCTCCAATTTATGAGTCATGGCACTCTCAGAAAACTATAAATAGCCTCTCATTTCTCTTTAGAGGGGGGCCAAGACCGAAGCAAAAGAAGAAGAACAACAGAAGAGAAAAAGTATAGGAGAGAAGAAACTCCTCCTTGACCACGGACGCTGGAATTCTGCCCAAGTGATGACAAAATTCTGCCCGACATTCATGAGACGCCGGAATTCTACCCAAGTGACCCCAGAATTCTGCCCGACTTCCACGAGATGCCAGAATTATGCCCGATTGACGCCGGAATTCCGCCCGACCTCCAAGTGACGCCGGAATTCCGCCCGACCTTCAAGTGACGCCAGAGTTTCACCCGAACATCAATTGACGCCAGAGTTCTACCTGAATACCTTCTAACACCAGAGTTCTCCTTAGCCACCAACTGACGTCAGACTTCTACCCGACGACGGACCTCCGCTCATCACCAAGTTTCTACTCGACGCCGGACTTCTGCCTATTGTCAGACTTTCGTCGGATATCTATCTCATGCTGGATTTCTATCTATTATTGAATTTCTACCTGAAGCCATCCTTTTGACCTTCGTTGTCAGACAACGGTCCTTCCGACCTCCGTCGCCCGTCGACTCCGGTCCCTCTGACTTATGTCGTCCACCGACTACAGTCCTTCTAACCTCTGTCGCTTGCTGACTACGATCCTTCAGACTTACGTCGCCCACCGACTACAGTCCTTCCGACCTGTGTCTCCCGCCGACTACGGTCCCTCTGACTTACGTCGCTCAACGACTATAGTCCTCAACGACTACAGTCCTTCTGACCTCTGTCGCCCACCGAGTACAGTCCTTCCGACCTCCGTCGCCGAGACTTAGCCATTTTTTCAATTAAATATGGTAATAAATACAAGTAGTAAAAAACCTCAAAAAGACATCTCAAAATATTTAAAATAAAACCTAGAGCTGCACCAAAAAATTCCAAGGTTCAAGATAAAGAACACAAAAAATAGACAAAAATGCTCGAGTAAAACATCAAAAAGTTTGGGAAAGACTCAAAAGCCTCAAAATGTCAGTACTCAGAATAACCAAAACATCACCCAAAAGTAATAATCATTTGACTAAAAAGTAGGAAGTGCACGCCCAATTGCCGTGGAGATTATCCAGGGTTTGTAGCATGAAGCCAACTGATTGGCTAAGAGGTGATTCATTATCGTCCACGATAGAGCCAGGTCAATATATAATCCCCTTAAATTCGTGAAAGCTCTTCCATTTTTTGGGTCTTGTGGTTGACGATCTTCTTAATTTGGATCAAAACTGAAGTGTGCCTAAAAAATTATAGACAAATTTCTTGCTATTTCTGTCACGCCATATAAAATATATGGTGTAGTATATGGCAAGGAAGAATAGCCATTTGAGAACATGGAGCATGTTTCAAAATCATCAATATAAAAGTGGTTTGATGTGAATCTAAACTATATAACTGCCTCAAGCAAGAGGGGAGAAATTATTTGGTGCGGATTCCGGACATAGCTCTACGTCCGTACTCCAATTAAAACTAGACACATGAATTTTTCATTTGTATATTATCTTTTCTTTATATCTTGTTTGCCTGACCGACCTAACTTACCTACATTTTTTTACTTTTTAAATGCCGGGTATAGGGTTGACGCTTCATTTTAATAAAAAAACGTGTGAAAGCTCCCAAATCCAAGTATTTAGGACTTCTGATACCTTCTCAGAAAGAAAGAAAAAAACAGAAGAACTTTGCAATATTCGCTAAGATGGAATGCTCTGGAACTGCTACTGGTTTCAACTTATCAATAAATTTCTACCTCTTCCTAAGTTGTTTTAAGGGTTTCCAAAGTTGTGTAGAAATAAGGACTTAAATACTGAGTATCGAAACTTTGCAATGTACTACTACGCTTTTTCTTTGAATTTGTTTATGTGCTCTTGTTGCACTTTCACTGTATTTGCAATAACACTTTCAAGACACTTTCACCAGACTTTTGTTGAGCTGGTACTGTGTGTTCGATGCGCTTTTTCTTAAAACGCACGATTACTACAATTTTGTTGTGAATTTACAACGCTTATGGTGCACTTTTGAAAGATGGCATTTTGCTAATTTTTTGCTGCACTTCTGCTAAACTTTCACTGCACTTTTTCTACGCTTTCATTGTGACTTTGACGATCTTTTTTTCTCTTTATAGGTTGTGTATAAACATGAGAAAGAAGCATATGATACTTATTGCACTTATACCCATAATAGTGGTCTTAGTGTGAGCAAGGATCATCATAGTTACTTACCAAATTCTAGAAAGATGAAATCCAATGACTTTATCTATTGAAAAGCTGATTTCAAGATGGGATTTGATCTAAATTCCCAAAAGAAATATAGAAAATCAAAGACCAGAAAGGGTTGTCCATCTTTAGTCGGGTTTACAGTTGATGAAGCTGGAAATTGGATTGTGAAAAAATTTATTGAATCCAACAATAATGATTTGGCTAGGCCAGAAGACCGACACCTTCTAAGATCATATAGGAATTTTGATGATGATAAAGCTTATGTTCTGAAATCAATGACAAAAGCCTAAATTAGAACTATTGATGTATTCTTTTACCTCGCAGAAGAAGTTGGAGGTATCGAGAATGTTGGATTCTCAAAGAGATATGCATACCACTTCATTTAGAAGAATAAAAGAACAAAGATGGAATTTGGGGACACTAATTATTTGATTCAATTATTTAAACATCATCATGTTGATGACAAATGTTCGCATGGAACGTCCAAATTAATAAGTTTGATAGATTATTAAATTTTTTTGGGTTGATGGGATGGATATGATAGATTATGACTATTTTGGAGATGTGGTGATTATTGACCTCTATTTTTGTTCAAGGGCCCTCAAGGGTCTCTGATTGATTTAATAAAGCCCCGTCGAATCCAATTCGAGCTCAAATCAGCTCGAATTGAGCCAAGTTAGACCCAATTATATTTTGATAGGCTAGATTAGTATATTTAAGCCTCGTCGAGCCCGATTCAAATAGAGTTTGCATTGATCATGATTTAATTTCATTAATTAAATTCCATCAAACATAATTTCAGCTTAATAGATAAATTTTTATCTAAATTTAAATAATGTGCCATTACTTCAATTTATTCACGTAATCTTGGGATTAATGAGCATTTGATTCATTCCTTTCCCAGCTCTAAGAGCCGTTGGTTGCTCTCCATTTGGGCATAAAAAAAAGGGAGAACGGAGGCTCTCGTCTCTCAGATTGGCACCGCTCGAGGGCACTCCGGCCCCATGGACCTTCTCTCTCAGTCTCTCTCACTTTCACATGCCTCCAGGCCGAAGCCCCCACTCCTTCCTCTCGGTCGTTCGCACACATCAAGAGGCGGAAGCCCTAACCGATCCCAACCCGAACCTCTTCCTCCCGCTCCTCTCCCCTTGCTCGGACTGAACTCTAGGAGCCGAAGCTCCTCTACCGCCTCCTCTTCTTCTTGTTTAGGGCAGGTATATTTCTCCCCCCTTCTTTTCCTTCTCTTCAGGGCCTATAAATTCTGCTTATCTATGTCGCATAGATGACGCCACTTTCATCCCTTCTTTTCATAAGTTTTGGGTGTTTGGTTTTCTCTCTCCTCAATGGCCTTAGTCCCTCTGGGTGTTGGTATGAACCTCGCATGTTGACTAACCCACTTGGACCATTCCTTTCCTTTTGAGTAGGAACTTCCAAGTCTCCCTTTTGTGTGTCAATCCCCTTTTTTGGGAAGCATAATATTGGATCCTTAATTGAGAGTTTTCTTGGTCCATAGGCTCAAGATGTAATTAACCATTGGGGATGTGCCCTTGGGAAACGGAATTCCACATCTATATACCTCACTCGAGCTAATGTATCGAGTGAGGGAAACCCATGATTATGTTCAAGTCGTATATATTACTACCCATCATGGTGCGCTGGCGAAAGTCGCTATCCTTAATGGTTAGTCGTATATGCGATCTAATCTGCCCTTCCATTGGCCCGTTTGCAAGGAGCGCGGATGCCTACGATCGTCTTTATCCCTCGGGGTAGGTGTGGTCATATACCCCCCTGCAATCCTGCAGCCTTATCAGTGCTCTTTCGGAGGTCCACAGGTTTCTGGTAACCACGATGGGACACATTTCTCTCTCCATCTTTGGATCCTATATTATTCTTTCTTGTGTGTACTCTATGATTGGCACTCCTTAGATTAGGTTCGTGTTACTCTTAGTTAGGATCCATTTCTTAGTTAGTTTCCTTTGTAGCTAGGGTTTCCCCTAGCTATGGCCCCTTTCTTTTCAGCCTTCTAGGCCATTCCATACCTTATCAAATTCTCTTTTTCTCATCGAGTTTTTTTGTGTTCGCTTGGCTCTCTCACCCTGAGACTG